AAAAATAGTAATAATTTAATGATGTTTTAGTAACTGTTTAAATACGATCATAGATTGAATAGTTAGGCATGACTAATTTATAGAGAAGTGGTAGCTGTCACTGGTGATGGTACAAATGATGCGCCTGCTTTAAAGAAAGCTGATGTTGGATTTGCAATGGTAGGTGGAAAAGCTTTTCGAAGAAATCAACTACATTTATTTGGCACTTTGAACACAAGATAGTGTGATAAGCGATAAATATCGCTGATAAGACAATAAACAGTCATGGTAAATAAATTATGAAGTAAGTGAGCAATATTATATTTGTAAAAAGTAAATTGAAGAGTAATGAGAGTAATTTTAAAATTAGTCAAATATTGATGTTTGTTTAATATATATTTAACAGCAATGAAAATGATAAAATTTCAGGGTATTGCTGGAACTGATGTTGCAAAAGAAGCATCAGATATCATTTTAACAGATGATAATTTTACTTCTATTGTAAAAGCAGTTATGTGGGGCCGTAATGTGTATGATTCGATCTCAAAATTTTTACAATTTCAATTAACAGTAAATGTTGTTGCTGTTACAATTGCATTTATTGGTGCATGTGCAATAAATGATTCTCCTCTGAAAGTAATTTCTTCATCCTCTTCTTTTTTTTTTTTTTGTTTTTTCAAAAAATAAAAGAAAAATTAGTTAATTTTTAAATTTATATTTTACGCAAATTGTATTTTCAACTATTTAATGCATTTAATTTTTTTTTTTCAGGCTGTACAAATGTTATGGGTGAATTTAATTATGGATACGTTAGCTTCATTAGCATTGGCAACAGAATTGCCAACAGAGGATTTATTGGAGCGTAAACCTTACGGACGTACAAAATCACTTATTTCACGAACAATGGTTAAAAATATCGTTGGTCATGCCATTTTTCAGCTAACAATTTTGTTTGCCATTCTTTTTTGGGGTAAGTAATAAAATTTTTTTGATAATTTAGAGATTGTTAACTAATGTTATGATCTTCTATTAATCATTTCATTTCATTTCATTTTGATTAGTTAAAGTCATTTCATAAATTTTGTAGGTTTTAGTTGTCAATTAACATTTTTTTTTTTTGTGTTTAGTTAAATTACAAATTTCTCTTGATGTATAGAAAAAAATTTTAATTTCTTTTCTAGGTGATAAATTCATCCCAGACGTGGAAAACGGACGTTGGGCACCGCTTAATTCACCACCCTCAAGACATTTCACCATAATTTTCAATGCTTTTGTTTTAATGACTTTAATGAATGAAATTAATTCACGAAAGATTCATGGAGAGCGAAATGTCTTTAAGGTTTGCTTAAGTTATTACACATTATATATTATTGTAAATTTTACAAGGAATTTAAATTTTTAAGTGCTTTATTATTTCATATACTTTTCATCATTTGAAAATTTGGTTTTAGTCCCCTTGTTATAGTCTTATAAACTATAATGTAATCTGTATTTCAGGGTCTTTTTACGAATCCATTATTTTGTATTATTTGGATTTTGACGCTAATTTCCCAGGTGTTAATTGTACAATTTGGTGGTGCATGGGTATCAACAGCTCCTTTGAATGAAATTCACTGGGCTGTTTGTATTGCATGTGCATTTGGCACTCTTTTATGGGGCCAGGTTTGTTTTTTCTTTTTCTTTTTTTTTTTTGATGAATAAATTTATTAATTGTTAAAAAACTACAACTCATTTTTTTCTTATAAATTTTACTTTATTTATATGAATAAATGCGAATTTTTTTTTTCAATTATTATATTGTAATAGTTGCTACAATTTATAGGTTTTAGCAACAATACCAAGTAAAGTGCTTCCTAAATTCTTTTCATTTGGTGGTGGCGAAATTCAGCCAACTTCAGTCTTAGTTACTGGTGAATATGATACAAGTGATGGTCTTGTAAAAGGCATGTCAAAGGAGGATCAAAAAAGGCCCGGTCAAATGTTATGGCTTCTTGGATTGACACGATTGCAAACACAGGTCTATCCTATCATTTAATTTTTCATGCATGTGTTTTTTCGTTTTTTTTTCCTCTTATTTTTTAATCGATTGCTAGCTATTAAATATAAATTAGAATTGTGAATTGGGATTGATGTTTGCAGTGAATTATTATAGATTAGTTTCCTATTCGCCTTGCTATTATTTGAATTTATTAGGCTTGATTAATTTGATTTATGAATTAAATCTCTAAATGGACTATTTAACTGCTAACTGCTACATTTCCAGTTCTATAGCCTACTAATTATATGAGCTATCATTGCAACAAATGATAAATTCGGTGCAAATTTTTGAACTTCTAAAACTTTAAAATTGTGCAAATTTTGGGAAAAAAAAATTTCTATCTCGATAGGGAAATGATCTATTTTTTATAAGTAATTTTATATTGTTAATATTTGATGATTATTATAAAAAGGAATAACTAATTATATATCTTAATATTTTGGCTATTTTCACACATTGAAATTTGTACAAAATGGGAAGAGTTGGAGAGGCAGAAAAAAAAAATGCTAAAAGGTCAGATTTGCTTAGCTAGTAAATGTGTTTGCTGTCATCTAAGGGACGATTGTATTTAATGAGACAAAGTATTGCACGACTTATGTAATTTAATATTTGTTTATATGTAAACAGTGCTTTTCATCTATTTGGTGCTATGATAATGTCCAAGAATATGATATGATATGATATGATATGGTTTGTAGTAATTTATTGCTATGGCATGTTTTAGTTCAATTAATATGCTTGCAAATTGAACGATATAGTCTTGCAGATGCGTGTTATTCGAGCTTTCCAAACGAATGCATGTACTACTCATCCAAGTTCATTGACAACTTCTACTGCCGAACGTTTACGTGCCAGTTATCGTAGGCTACAACTTGCACGTGAAAGAGAGGAACAACGAAGTTCGTCTTGTCATCTATTTTTTCCTTCTAAAAAAGAAAAAAAAATCTATGCTATATTTTTTAACTCATTAAATTTTAATTATTTTCATTTGTTAACGAATACATTCATTTTGAGCAATATCAAAAGATTATCACAAAATATTTTAATTTTCTTTTTTCATTACTCCTAAAAAATAAACTTCTTCTGTAATATTGAAGAAAAGAAAAGAAAAAGTTTATTTTTTATGTTGTATATTTGCATACGCAAAAAAAAAAAACAATGCTCTGTTCTTTTCGAAACTTGCAAAAAAAAAATATGTTGGAAAAAAAAGTGATACTTCGAGATATCATATAATTAATTTATCTTGTGAAATGCATGATTTATCATTATAGCATTAATTAGCACGATGTAGTTTATTTCCAGTATTCTTTAATGAATTGAAAGTATGCACACTTTTGGAGTTCTTCTTTTTTTTCTTTGGAATTAGTTGTTATTTGAAATATTGGAAATGCCTGTGACATGCTCTTTCTTTTTACCTTTATCTTTCATCTGAATTTTTTTAACAAATAATTGAACTATATTATCAAGCAACTTTTATTCAGAAATATCGATATTGATTATTCAAGAAATTAGGTAGAGATTTTGAGTAAATGATTGATAAGCATGCATTTGTTCATAAATGATTAATTTGCCTTTGAAGGAATTGAAATCAGGAAAACTGAGTCTTCGGAAAGCCTTAAATTTTTCCAGTTTACAAATTGGTTTTTGTCTTATTAGAATTGAAAAAACACAGCAACTGAAGTGACTTCATGAATTTTTTGTTTCATTTAAATTTTTTAATTAATAACATGTTTCCAGGGATGCATTCTGCAAGGTTCGATGAAGAAATTCGGATAGATAATAAGTTAAAAGATAATACAACAACAATCAATTTTGCATGATTATATATATTGTTAACATTTATTATTGTTGCAGAAAATTGTCAATAATCAGTTTAGATTAGTTCCATCTTACATATGTTCACTCAATAGAATGATTTTTTCATTCGAAATTTTTATAAAATCTTCATTCTGAAATGACATTTAGTTCAATGCATATGTCAAAATATGTTAGATTGATAATGATTCTTTTATTTTTATTCATTTTCATGTAAAATATTAAATATTTTATTTGATTATTCGAGAAATGCAGTGTTTTTTTCACATACAACAACGACTGTTTGATCAATTTAATTTGAAATTATTCTGAATCGAATTGAAATTTCATTTTTTTTTCTCCACATTTCTTGAGGGAATTTCTGAATAAATCAATTTGATAAAGAGAAAAAAAAGGAACAATTGGGAGATTATAGATTGTTCTGTTTCTCTTTATAGCAATTAAGTTTTGCATTTTATAATTTTTATTTCTTATTAAAAGGATCATTATTTGAAATTAGCTTATCATGTACTTTCAAATAGTGCTCCCTCCCTTCGTTCTTAAATGTTATTATTTTCATGTCATTATAATAGTCCTTTTTTTTTTTTGATGATTACACTGATTTTATTACTTTCTAATTTTTGGTTCATAAGTTTTGTTTGATCACTACAATAACTCATCCTAGCTAATTATATACTGTATTAAGAAAAAAAAAGATCAACAAATTTTGGGAAAATTTTCTGATGAACCAAAATTACCTATTTTCCGTATTTACAAATAACATATATTGTTGCATAATGATGGTACATGTTTTCTTATCTCAATTTACTTAGATTGATCTATGTTTTGTAATATAGTACCAACAAGAACTTTAATTACAAAAAAAAAACAATTCAGTATAACAGAAGAGATGCAGGCATCAAATATTGGAATAATATTAATAATTCTCAAAAAATTCAATGAGAAGAATTGGAGGCTTTTTGATATCAATAGCAGGGAAATAAATAGAAATTAAAGATTTATTTATCCATATTCCAAATTTATATTGATTTCAAGCATGAGGTATTTAAAAGATACCAAGTGAATATTGAGTGAATACCGATTTGTTACAGTTGTTAATTCAAAATCATCATTGTTATTCGAAATTTTCGGATAATATATGCATTTTTTTACGGGTTTGTTAATCAAAAACCCTAAAACTATGGATTTCGAAGAATCCTGAAATTCATCTTCAAAATATATAATTTATGGCCGAAGTTTCATTAATAATTTTCCTTTTATTTTTGTTTAACGGAAATAAGAGTAAGTTTGAAATTGATACTAGCAAATTTATTGAAAGACTATTGAAATTACGTGTAAATTTTGATTTTTCCATCAGAAAAAATAAAGCAAACACTTCACATTCACTGGGAAATCAAGATTCGAAAAAAAAAAGGAATTTGCGGGAGAAAATAATTCATTCTCATATAAATTTTTGATACGCTTCGTTAGTGTGAAATAATTTCAAGAAATTCAAAGTCAGTGAATGTGAATGACTCATAAATGTATTGTAATTAATGGAATCAAACCTTAACTGTCCAGCTGAATTAACTGATAATAGTTTTGATTTGATTTGGAATTTCCTGCACCTAATAACTAGAGAAAGAAAGATGGACTATCAAGTGAAAGTTTGATATAAAATCTATCCAGTTTTTCCAGAGTTAGAGAAAAGACACTTCAACGTTGGAACACCAGCAACTATGGTGACTTCTTGATGACGAATGACAATCCAATTATAGGGATCTTAAAAAATATTCACAATTGCTTCTAACATGGCAAACCATTTAACTGGATTAATTCATTTCTTTTCGAGATTTTTTCTTCTTGCGTAAATAATAAATAATGCAGTTTAATGATCATCATTGTTGTCAATATATAAACTGGCTGCACTATTGATTAACAATTGATCAGACCTGATTTTAGCACTATAATTAGGTCTGAAGTGTATTTCAATAGTGGAAAAATGACTTTATTAAGTAATGAAATATAAGACTAGTTATATTATAGTTATAATTTAAAACAAATCGTAATAAGGCATTAATGCGCATTCTTGTTTACCAATAAGGAGAGAAATCAGAGAGGTAAGAGGAATGAGATTATGATTGTTGAACATAAGTTTAAAACTTTCGAAATACGAAAGCTCCATACTTTGGATAAAACTCAAAATTTCTACATAATATGATCATAAATCTTCTTCGAAGGGGTTCTTTGTATCTTCATCAATATCAAAAGGATTAGTAGATCGCACAGATTTTATCGCACGTGAATTCATAGTTTTTGAAGTAAGGAAAGGATTACGTGCTGTTGTGTCCATCGAACTTGTCTCTTTGGATGATCGATCCTCAAACTGACTTAGATTTATTCTGTTCGACGAACTAGTATCCGATTGAGGACTAACTACGTCACTTTCATTCTTGGAGTCTTTTTCCTTCGACCACGGATCGAAAAGCCCATTGCCAATATATGAAGAAATAAGAGTCATACAATCAGCTGATTCCTTTACCTGAAGTTATGTGCTATATGGATAGATAATCAGTGCAACACTATTCGATCACCATATGCTTATATTAAATTTCTCATTTTCATTTTGGGTCATTTGATAAACAATGTTAGATTTTCAAGCTATACCTCATTTTGAAATTGAAGATAAGCACTACGCGTGGAGAAATCTTGTCCTTTATCACTTCGTATCCTAAAATCCATAAAATTAATCATTACAACTTTACAAATGCACACAAATATGTCAAATCTTTTCTAAATTTCTGAACGACATAAAACTTTAAAACTGAAGAACTAAATAATTATTAAAGTAAACCTTTCGTTAAATTTGTCTTGTACACAAGCTGGACAATAATCAGCCTTTTCACTATACGACTCTAGACAGTGAGCATGGTAGGAATGTTTGCATAAGAAATGTATAGCAGGTAGTTGAAGAGAGGTGTCACATGCAGAGCATTTGTTCATTTGAAAAATTTGAACCCTACAAAATCAAACAGCTAATTTTCGAACCAAATGATGAAATAGTTGGTTCGACGCTTCGTAGAAGCTTAAATATTTTGAAATACAAACTTGTAAGTAATATTATCAATTTGCTCCTCAATTTCAGCCATTTTCGCTTCGTTTTTAACAATTGTTTCTTCATCTTTCTTGATCTTAAATACTCATTTATTAATGATTAAAGAATAAAACCATTTATTCACTATCAAGCACTGGCAGTCTACATTCTAGTAAGAAGGCAAACTGTATTAATTATCAAAACTTAATACAATTAGAAATTAAAATTTCATGCTATTAGAATCATAAAGTTCCAACAAAAGAAATTCTTCAGCAAACAGAAGCATAGAAACATTGCAGATATTATGCTCCATGAAAAATACCTGAGCATTTTGCCGCTCCAACCAATTAATAATATAATCTCTCACGTGACCAACGCAAATTTTATCACTTTTGGAAAGAATTTCGAGAACCACAAGTGGATGGATACTATTCGTTGCTTCAATCCTGCATGTAAATAAATAAATTCAATAAAAAACAACTTATATTTTGGTTGGAGAAATCGAGGTTAATAGATTCAACCGTTCAAGTAAAAACTTTATTGCATCGGAATCTATATCCTTTCCACGGGAAGCAAATACCACTGCGTCGATCCACAAGTCACGATTGCTGAAAATGAAAAATAAAAAAAAATTACTGTCTTTTATTCAACTTAAAGCTGCTGCAAGAGCCAAAAAAAAAACAAATTTGCCTAACTCGTGCGCCCATAGAGGCTTCAAATAAAGAAAAAAAATTGAAACAAACTTTTCTTCCTCGCAAAATTTGACAATTTCTCTGAGCTTGTTTTGTCGCATATAGTATTCGATAAGTTTATCGTATCTATAAAATTTATTTTAATCGATTAAAACGGTGGAAATTATGAGTAGTTTCTTACTGGTAATCTTCAGAAATTTACCTCTTCATCTTTTTATATATATCAATGATTCCTGGAATATAATTGAATAACTGGCACAACTTCAAGGATTCCTCCAAATTTTCATCCCCGATCAATTCCATAATGCTCTCATCGTGATTAGGAGCATCATAAAGCATAGAAATTAGAATTTAATTATGAAGAGAACAAAACATGGTAAATAAAAAGAATCATGCTGAATAACAAGATTAGTAAGGATCATCAACAAACTATATCCATATTCCTGCATTAAAATCAAAATCGAATAAAAAAACCTCGTTACGCAGTGACCACTGACGAAGACGAAGTTCTAGCAGCAAATTACGCAATTTCTCATTATTTTTCTTATCCTGCAAAAAAAATTTAACCAAATCAAAGACAAAAAGAAAAAAAAAAACGGCCACCTAATCAACGATGCCACGTCTAACCTATTTCCGAAACATGACTGTACTACTTTACTATGTGTATATAATATCCAAATCATCAAATATTGTTTATTGGATCTGAGTTACTTTGAACTGAAAAAGTTATAGTAAAAAAAAAAATTCAGATTTATCAGCGCCACCTTCAATGCTGTTTCTATAAATTTGGTACATTGCGAAGGTAGACCAATAAATACTTTCATCAAAGCAGGAGCGTTGATTTGGCCTAAAATTCTTTCACTTTCTATCTCCACTATTTTGGCAGCAGGTATCTTCAACATATAAGTAAAAAACGATTAATGAACGAAATTTTAAAATAGTGGTTCAACAACTCTTCACTAAATTACGATATGGACTGCTGAACCTTACAAAATACTAAATCATGAAAGCGTAACAATGTTGTCCCCCTACCTTACCAATTAACAAATAATCAAACTACCAACTGAAACAAGCTCTATCCGATAACAGCTTCATCGTTTCTTCAGGGTTGTTTACCAATAAACATTTTCCGAACTTTTCCAAGCATAGTTCAATCTAAATTTGAAAAATTTTATTCATTTTTCTATAACATCAAGCACCCGATATAAAATAAATACAAGACAAAAAACAAACCTGGGAAGTTTCTAGTTTAGAAATATATTTAATCGCAGATTTATAATCGGCTCGATCTTCGATTAAGATGCTTAATAGCGCATCATGCTGTTTATGCTTCGCACAGAGATGGCACGCTTCCGTAGTAAAATTTGCTGCACGAAGCACCTATGTTTTAAGTATTCAAAAGTGTTTTTTTATTAATCTTAAATTTATCAATAATCAAAAAAAAAAATGTTGACACTATGTAGAAAATAATCTAATTGTTCGCAGCAAACTTCGTTGAAGTTATTAAAGTTGTGTTTAGGGGAAAGAATAAATGCAACTCAGCCTACGATAATTAAACAATATAGTGAGAATGACTAATAATGATTCCTTTGATAATTACTATACAGCGGCACTTAGATTAAGCATTCAGACACTGTAATGGCAAGGAACGGATCTAGATCAACAAAAAAAAAAAGATATGAAGTATACAAAAAAGTACAAAAAGTCATTTATAAAAAAAAAGTGGACATACAAAAAAGTGATTTATGATGAGTCAATCTAGTCAATTTAATAATTAAATATTTTTTTGCCAAAAAATCGTAGTGCTGAAATTTTTATAGTTTAATTTTCAGCTATCTCATGTATTTCAATACATAAACGATATAAACATTTTTTTTTAGTTCCTGAAATTTCAACAATACCTGAACAGCTGTTTCAATATTGCACTCAAAATCACGGTCAATAAAATCACGAATTTTATCATGTGCTGCCAAACGGGTGTAACAGTTTAATAATATGGTAGTATGATGACTATTCGCCTTACCTCTAGCGTGAAGCACTTCTAAATACATGCACAATTCTTTTATATGAGCACCATCCAGGAACTGAAAATTATTCTTATTGATATCACCTATCAGTAAAAATGAATGAATTCACTTAAAAAGCAGCATGAATCATAAATTGTGAAAATAGAAAATAATTCGAAAAGATACCTTTTTAATAACATATGATGGCTCAAGGTATCCAACAGTTTCCGCATACTGTTGCACTGCATTTTCAAAATCCCCACTTCTAGAAGAAATCATTTCAGAGAATGAAGATAGATTAAATTGCATAAGTACAGTATAGTGATTAACATACCTGTACAAATAATCACCGTATTTCTTATAAATTTCAGGAAGATATTCCGAAGCAACTGAACTTCTCTTGGCAACCCTGTAATTTGGAAAGTAAAAAGTGGTAAAATAGAAAACGAAAGAGAAGAATGCAAACAATTAAAAAAATTATATTACACAACATCGAAGACACTGAATAGCTAACCCAACAGCGAGATCATATAGATTTTTCTTGAATAAAATATCCAATTTCGAGCTGATGCTTTTCTCTGTAAGAGCTGAAAGTGTTCCGTCTTGACTAAGAACCATTAACACGTTATCCAATAAAAACATCCTTGAAACAGCAGGAAGTGCACACGAAAATGCAACACATTGTCCTTCAGTATCATATATCGAAACAACATATGTCCACATTTCATTTGATGACCTGAAATAAATGTTGAAATTCATTGTCTACTTATAGATAAAAGACACCAAAATAGCATGAGTAAGTAAGCTTTAATAGTAAATTCTTGAAAAAAAAGTAACAAGTATCGCAATCATTCTGAATCATGAGTTTTCCCTATCTTTATTCGACAAATTAAATTCAAAAACTAACGGTATAGCAGTTGGTTGTCGTGTAAGTAATGCAACGTGGTGATCAAATGCAATTAATTGAATCTTTTCATTGCTTCGACCAAGAGCATGACAACGACCCTTCCCACTATCAGGATCAGCAGTCAAACTCCGTTCTGCGTCATAAAAGTGTACCATCTATAAGAAATAATGTATGTTTTATGAAGACAAATTATTTCCATCAACAAAATTGAAATTCGTTAGATAAGCACAAACGGATATGCATTAAAACGAACCTCAGTACTACCCACAATAAGTTGATTTCGCGCTTCATTAAAACTCCAGCAGTCATGAAGACAACCTTTCGCATCGTATACAACCTTCAAAGAGATTTACTAAGTCATTTAATACTCCAGAAAAATGAAAACATTAAGTGAATCCATGCTAAACTACAAAGAAATTGTTACTATTTTCTATTCAAAAAAAATGAGAGAAAAAAGTTGAATTACCTTATTTGTAACGGTTTTGTTGGCAATTGAAAACGACAATACAGACGTCGACGTTAAACAGTATAAGATACAGAGATCCTGCGTAGCAACCCATGCAAGGAAAACACCTGTTACTTCGTCACCTGGCCCTGTAGTTGGACCATTAACCACAGTAAGCCATTTACTAGATCTAAAATTTTATTATTAAGATGATCTTTTAAAAAGCATAAAATGTATGAAATACATACTGGAAAATATTTCCGACATATCTGCTTGACTCCCACAATGATTAAATATGTCATTTTATGATTTTTAAGACAGCATTTGCCCGTTGCCTCTCTCGGTTCACGACTGATAAACGATGCTGCTATACTTCTCTAAGCCTATCTTCTACAAAAGATGATTTAACTTTCCAAAGAACTTATACCAGACAATGGCGCTGAAAAGTAAATCCATTCGTAAGAAGGAAAAAATATTTCTATTCGTAAGAAGGCAAAAATATTTCAGTCAGCTATTACAGCCAATTCTAACAATTTTTTAAACAATAATGAGCTCTTATTCATTATGAAGCTGCCAAAACTTACTTTTCTTTGATATTACTTGCAGAATAAATAACGGAGGAATCAACGAAACCAACAGCCATATGTTGCGCAGATGAATGCAACGCAATGGCACATGCCCGCGTACTACGTCCAACACCTAACAAAGGACATACACGTATCACGCGTATGCAAAATGGTGCATCTTTCTCAATTCGATCCAATTGCCACAATTTAACTAATGAGTTAATCCCATCTTCATCTTCCTGCAAATCGAGTTTTTTCATTTCGTTTCACGATTTTTCAGTCTTAGCATTTTTTAATGTTTTGATAAAGTATGCAAAATTGCCCTTTTTTCAATCCTAATATTTATACATATGGTTTTATAATAGAGCTTGCAAGTTTATCGTTAATTTCTTTTGAATTTATCAGTCATCAAATTTCAGCAATTGTATTTCCCCTTTTAAATTGCGCTTATTATAATTAAAATATTAGAATTAATCCACTTGAGTAATAGGAAACTCAAAAATTCTGCAAAATTAAAAATGCTGATTCGCGAAAAGTTGAACAATTTAATTTTCTAAATTCAAGCAACTAAGTTTAAATAGCTTACTCCAACTGTACCAAGAATAAGACCAGCGAGAGCTATATCTGCCAGTGAGCGTTTATGGGCAATCCAACAATATTCCTCCAAATTACGTGATAATTTGAATATTGCGCCACATGGTTCTCCGAATACCGTAAATCCAACACCAGATACAGAAAGAGATGCTTTCAGATCCTACAAATATATCCAAAATCTTCTAATAAAATAAGCATTGCATCTATCTATATCTTTCTAATGAAGCTTAGATAATCTTAGAAAATCGATCATGGAACAGTTCCACATATGAAAAGAAAGAAAAATTGAAGAAAAACCTTTAATCCATTAAATTTGCATTCAGGATTATTCGGATCATAAACATTGTGCTTCTCAAAAAATGTAAACTGCCGCCAACCAGTTTCCACTAACGACATCACATCAAACCAAACAAATCAGATTGTAACACTCGTTCTATTTACACTTGAGAAAAATAAATGTTACAAAGAGTTCGCATAATCCTACGTGACCATACGGAGTTCAATATTAATTGCTCTGAAGTATTTCCATGAATTGTCTCCATTCTACGGTTGGATATATCAAAAATGATAACGCAGAAACGAATGGAAGCTTTCAGCGTAACGTAAGTAACCTGATGTGACCTAAACATCTATGACGAACGTAGAACAATCAAACTGTCGTAAGTTCGAACTTAAAATGAATAATAGGTTCAGTCTGTTAGACAACGAGGGAGTTGCGAGATACATGCATTCAGGCGATGCGATTTGTCGCGTTATACAAGCAATCAGAGAGTCAGAGGAATGGAGGGTTAAGTGGTAGGAGGAAGGCTGTGTCATGCACGTGTTGCGTGGCGTCGAAAGTATTGTACGTGTATATTTTTGAAGAGAAGTATTAAGGTATTAAAAATTTGAAACTCATTGAGCTCTTTTATTCATGTTAAACTTGGGAATGAAATTAATTTAAGCTATTGAACGAAAAACATAAATCAATGAATTGATTTGATTGTTAATTTCACTTTCTCCATGTATGTACTGCATGCTAAAAATCATAAAACAGAACTGTATCAGTTATAGTGTAATAACGGGAATTAGAAGATGACGAAAAATTTAGATGAAAAATTTCTACAAAAGGGAAAATAAAGGTATACGTAATTTACTTGATTAATTCATTTATTACTTCGAATTGCTGATGGAAATCATTATTTATTGTAAATTTTATGAAATAGTTTCGGAGCATAAAAGTTAACTGAGATATTGATTTGTTATCAGAAATTATTTCAATTGGAAAAAAAGAGTTTTTTTTTTTGTGAAAGAAAGAAATAAATTGGAAAAAAATCTCGAAATGTTTGTTAAATTTTATAACTAAAAAATTGCATCAAAATGATAAATGAAAACTCAGAATGAGTAATAATAATCTATAATATAGTAGCAAACCTCAGTGAAAGGAATAAATATCAAAAAATTGCAGTAATATTGGACAAAAAAGTTGTTTGTAATAAATAACTTAAGTGAAATTTCCATCCATCATAAACTAATCTTTTACGAGCTGACAAATTTATTTCTCATCTCACTTATCATTTGTTCTTTCATTTAGCGTCAAATAGTTTCTTTTTTTTCTTTCGTTTCTTTTTTTTTTCCTGTTTTCAATACCGAACTGTACAACTTTTCCATCATTGACAACTTATGTCTGTAAATGAACAATCATTTTAATATTGTTTGCTGGAGTTATTTCGGTGATTTATTTTTTAATGAGACTAAATACTTGAATTTATTTGATCAAAAATTTCGTCTTTCAATTTATTTGCAATGAATATATTGATCAAGCCAAATATTATTTGATTGCTATAGTATCCTAAGCATATATTTGTTTATGTTATTTTATTATTAGCATATTCCGCACTATTCATTCTTCGTTTTCACTCCTTTACATATTATTATTGTTTATAACGAAAGCTTTTTCAAAGTTGATAAATATTTTTTCATATGATAAATGATAGAAAATTCTGCATAAATATTAACAAGAAAACTATTAATATTTGCCCTGTTATTGTCGTGCATTTAAAAAATGTATATGTGTCTTAAAAGCAACTCATTTGAATGTGAAATTTTTATAGTTTAAAATTAGGGAATTGGGCTTATTTGGAATCATTTGTTCAAGATATTTTGGAAACAGTTAGGTCAATTTCTAGATTTGCGCAGTGTCCAACAGATACAAATCACTCATTAGTAAATATTTGAAAAGATGAAATGCTTTGAA